GTCCGTCGTCGTTAGCTTTTTACAAGAATCTTCTCTGAAACCACTGGGCCAAATTTAACCAAACTTGGCCACAATCATCATTAGGGTATCTAGTTTAAAAAATGTGTCCGATGACCCTGCCAACTAACCAAGATGGCCGCCATGGCTAAAAATAGAACATAGGGGTAAAATGTAGATTTTGGCTTATATCTCTGAAATCAAAGCATTTAGAGTAAATCTGACATAGGGTAAAACTGATTATTAGGTCAAGATCTATCTGCCCTGAAATTTTCAGACAAATCTGACAACCTGTTGTTGGGTTGCTGCCCCTGAATTGGTAATTTTAAGGAAATTTTGCAGTTTTGGGTTATTATCTTGATTATTATTATAGATAGAGATAAACTGTAAACAGCAATAATGTTCAGCAAAGTAAGATCTACAAATAAGTTGTCATGACCAAAATTGTCAGTCGACCCCTTTTGGGAATTATTGCCCTTAATAGTCAATTTTTAACAATTTTTCGTAAATTTTTGTAATCTTTTACAAAAATCTTCTTCTCTGAAACTACTGATACAAATTTAACCATACTTGGCCATAATCATTATTAGGGTATCTAGTTTAAAAAATTTGTCCATTGACCCCACCTTCCAACCATCATGGCCAACTTAGTTAAAAATAGAACATAGGGGTAAAATGCAGTTTTTGGTTTATATCTCTGAAACTAAAGCATTTAGAGCAAATCTGACAGGTGGCAAAAATGTTCATCAGATTTAGATTTATCTGCCCTGAAATTTTCAGACAAATCCCACGACCCGTTGTTGGGTTGCTGCCCCTGAGTTAGTAATTTTACAAAAAAATTTGCAGTTTTTTGTTATTATCTTAGATATCATTATAATATCTAATATCTAATACTATTAATTATGATTTTAACCTTATTTTACATGATTTCCAAAGCATCAGTAAATACAGGTGAGCGACACAGGCTCTTGAGAGCCTCTAGTTATAAAAATGTTATGCAAACCAGGGAAAATATGGCCTCATGATAATAATAATGTGTAGAAAAATGTATCATGCTTTTTTTATTGTAATTTGTAGAAGTAAAGACTGATGTCAGACTGTTGCTTGAGTGTTTGAAATGTCAAGTTGACAACCCATCTGCAATGAAACAAGCTTTCAGAACACTGGCCAATATATTCAATAATGTCGGAACAGGTGAGCAGTACTTAGTAATTAGGATCTGAGGTCTGTCACAATTTAATGTTACATGTATTTAGGGCCTGTTGTCAGTCAGGGGTACTACTTGTACAAGTAATCTTTATTTACTTTAAGAACTTCAAGAAGTAAATTATATTAACTTATATAAGTTAATTATAATGTTTGAATAATCTCCCCTTAATTTTCTTAAAAATTTACTTGACATGTATAAGTAATTTTTTTTAACAATCTCACAAATATTTTCAAGTTTTGAGATGTAAAAACATGCCTTTAACAATTTTTCTCAGGTTAGCTCATAATTTTTCATTAGAGTTCAATGTTTCATCTCATTAATTCAACAAAGAAACTGATTGCGCAAAGATCTTAAGTATTTGGGCAAGGCCTTCAAAAATTGCCCCTTGGGGGCTTGTAAATGAGCAGTGTTCTGAAGATAACAGACAAATGAGATTTTCATTGTCCATGAAATTACACTTGAATGATTAGTAAAGACATCTGCAAAGGACAGACAATTCAAAATTCTATTAGAGCAAAGAAGTCCTAAGAATTCAAGAAAAGAAGATAGGATGACTTTTTTACTTGTATAAGTAAAAATATCTGAATGTCTATAAAGGACATAACTAAGCCAAATTTTTTCTTTACCTGTACAAGTAAATAAAATACACTAAGTCTTGTATAAGTATCCTACAAATTTACTTATATAAGTATATTAATATTTACTTCTTCAGGTAAATAAAAATTACTTGTACAAGTAGTACCCCTGACTGGTTGAAATAAATTGGACTTCATGAAATATTCTTTCTACTTGAATAAAAACATATACAGGCTAACTCCCTCTTTCACCATTATTTCATTATATGATGGATTGTTAGTGTTGAACGCCACTTTCAGCACTCTTGGCTTTATTGAGGTGTCTAGTTTTATTGGCGGAAGGAAGCCGCCCAGAGTACCAGGACGGAGGAGAGAATCAAGAGTCCTACGATAGGAAAACCTGGCAGTCCTAGTCAAATATGATGGTTGTCAAACGCATCTGCCAAGAGCAGGGTTTCACACACAACCTTGATAATCACAGGCTAGTGAAAACTGTATATAAACTTCTTACACCTCTTGGCTGCTGAGTCCTCTGTTTTTTTCATAATAAGAGGAAGGTATAAATCAAAGACCTGCAACAAGAAATGAAAGATTTTTGTGGCAAGGTTTATTAAAACAGTAAAATGAACCCATTGCAATTTTCCTGAGCTTAATTCAAAGCATAGTTTTTGAGTAAAGGAAAACAATTTGTATGACATTAAGTTTGTTGATCTACTGACAGTCCTACGATACTAAATAATAATGTGAATTAGAATATACTGTTCGATATATTTTTCTCTGGCCATTTTGAATTGGTGTGAATTTTTCTTTGGTTTGTACTTTTACAATTATGTGCTTTTATTTTTAGATGAGATTAAAGATTATTTCCGTGATTTGGGAGGATTGGACTTTATAACTACCTTCAACAAAACTGTGAGCAATGTTGAGGTCAAAGAAGCTGCAATATTTTGTTTAGGATGTGCTGTAGAAAATAATAGTATGTAAAATATGTTATTACTTTGATCACCAAAAACTTTAAAAAAAAACAAAAAAAAACAGTTCTAACCAAACCAATGGCCTGATTAACAACAAAGCAGTTGAAAGAAAAATAGTTTTCAAATACAGCAACCAATAACAACCACTGAATTACAGATTTGGGACAGGCACACAAAGAATGTAGCGGGTCAAACTTGTATGTAAGCACTCAACACTCCCTAACCTGGGACTGGTGTTCCAGCACATCATAAGAACAAATTATAATACCATGTAGTGAACCAATGCCTATGTGTTTACTTCTGGTAGAGGCTTCTGAAGTGGATACATTGGAACTCAATTTCTGTAAGAAAATTTTCCTGATGATGCATGCATGGCAAGCGAAATATGTCGACCAGTAATTTAATAAAATTGTTATCTCATGAAGTGTTGTTGTCAAATTGATACTTTTATTATAAGAATAAATTGGAAAAGACTTAACTCAATAGATTGTTTATGAAACAAACAAACAAAACAAATATAAAAACAAAGGACACAAAAGTTTGATCAAAGAATACTGTAAATTCAGAAATTATTGCGAGGTTTTTATTAATGCGAATAACGCGACTACTTGAGTATCGCAATAATAAGAACTCACATTCTGATATCAAATACATATATCTGTGTGTAGCTTTTCCTAAAATTCGCAATAGTTAAACTCGCATTTTTGTTAATTTTTCAAAAATCGCAATAATAAATGCATGCAATAATTTCTGAATTTACAGTACTCAAAGTAACCTAAAGCTAGTGCAAAGTCAAGTACAAATTGTATATCTGTTGTATCTGATCTTACATTACTTTAGATACAACAAAATATATTAAAAAAGATTAATCTGGGTTTGAAAAGATTTAACCTTTAATAATTGAAAAGCAAACTGTATATATTTCATGTTTGTAGTTTATGTTATATTTTTCGTTTAGTTTATTCACAGAAAGAGTTGACCACAATAGCACAGTTTATGAATCTACACAAAACCCTTTCTGATGAGAAATCTACGACTCGGCTCAAACATGCATCATCATATTTGCTGCTTACAGTAGTGTCAAATAACAGTCAGTAAAGTATATTTCTAAAAATAGAAATTTGGCAAATACTATTTTGAAGTTTTCCTATTTTGGAATCTTATAGTCCTGATACAAATGTTAAAGAATTATGTGGTCTATTTAGGTATGCATTGAAGGTTTGGTACCATTAAAACGTTTAAACCCGCTGCATTTGTTTGCACCTGTCCTAAGTCAGGAATCTGATGTTCAGTAGTTGTCGTTTGTTGATGTGGTTCATAAGTGTTTCTCGTTTCTCGTTTCTCGTTTTTTATATAGATTAGACCGTTGGTTTTCCCGTTTAAATGGTTTTACACTAGTAAATTTTGAGGCCCTTTATAGCTTACTGTTCGGTGTGAGCCAAGGCTCCGTGTTGAAGACCGTACTGTGACCTATAATGGTTTACTTTTATAAATTTTGACTTGGATGGAGAGTTGTCTCATTGGCACTCATACCACATCTTCTTATATCTATTAAATGAAAATTTATAGTTGATTCTGAATTTTAAGGACATTGTTTTGATTTAATTGACAAAATTGTAAAAGAAAATTCTTGAAGCGTGAGAGTTGTTTTTAGTAAAGCTGTGTGATTATGCTTTTTTTACATTTCAGGGTTCAAAAGGAACGTCATCGGCATAGTAACATACTACTGTGTGTTGTATTTTTAAGCATGAAACTGATGTAATCATTTTAAGTGTAATGTAAAGTATGATGATTTTTTCTCAATGTTTTAAGGAAAATATGGCTATTATGGGACTTTTGACCCATACTATCAGTTTTAAGTTTGAAAAAGGATCCTAAAATAAATTATGTATACTTGAGAATAGAAAAAGAAAAGTTTTAAATTTTTAAATTTGGCACATCTAAACATCTATTTCGAAAGGCTATTTTTAAAATTGTGTTTGATAAATGTCTTTACCTTTACCTTAAAATTAGTCATTTCATATGCTTTTATTTCATTTTTGTAAGGAAGCTAGCACAGAGTTGTTTCAAAAACTATTATATATTGATAATGCCCTGATGTAAGGGTGCAGTTGACAGGCAGTGCAATTCATTCTGTAATTTAAAAAAAGAAAGACTTATGAATATTTACTTGAAAAGTATTGTATGTTTAATAAGTGCCATTAATGTTTTATTGGACAGTCATATATTTTTTTTAAGGTATAGGACAGTCACTAGCTAAGAAGAGTTTGTGTTTATCGGATCTTCTTGGTCTTTTGAGGTAAGTGACGAGGTTTAAAACATTCTGCAAAAGTATTTTTCATGCATTTCTTTGTAAATGATGACAACGAAACATGTCAATAAGATAGAATAAAAACTAGGGATTCAACAAGTACTCTAACTTTTGAGTGCTTATTTCATACTCCAATACTCATATTGTTTTTAAACGCCCGTTTACGGGACGTATTATAGTATACCGTTGTCCGTTCATCTGTCCGTTGTCAACATGTCGGACAATAACTCAAAAACGCTTTAACCAATTTGCATTAAACTTTGGTGAATTGTTTATATCTATTGACATAAGCTCCTTTTAGATTTTTATAAATTTTAGATTTTACGTTTCCGAGGTACGGGGTTTTATTCATTAAAAAAGGGTTTTTTTCTAGTTTTTGGACAATAACTCAAAAATGCTTTGAGCAGTTTTTATGAAACTTTGGTGTCTGTTTTATATATATTTAGTTAACCTCCCTTTAGTTTTTTTTATGAATTTCTGATATGACATTGGGGATTTAAATGAATTGAAGAGTTGATCTGACAATACATGTGGAATTAAATTTCCGGTCACTGACCACTGTATTTATTTATGACATTCCTTTTCCACGATTGTTTACCTAAGATTATCTTTCATCACCATGATAAATAATAAGTGATACCTTGTTATAGTTTATGAAATGTTATTTAAAGTGTTTTAAAAACAATTAACCGTAATCATGCACTAAATTGCTTGGTTGTGTATAAAGCAGGGATTAAGACTTCCTGATGGTGATCAACTCAAAACTACTCAATCGGCATCTAATCTTTTTGTATTTTCTCTTGCAAAAAAAGATCGAAATAAAAGAAAATGAATTGAAATCTAAATTTCATCAAATCTCTTGTATACGAGAATGAACAATTTTGTCAACTACCGCTAAGATCAATTGGATATTTCTCTCTCGGCTAAAAACCACAGGAAAAAATTGTAAGTGTACAAAGAAATAAATAAGAGAAGAAAACATAAAATTTATTATAATGATGAAAGACCATAACATACAGATACATCAATCTGAGACCAGTATATCGATCTAATACCCATATTCATCCGAATTTATTTTAGCTTTACCAAGCTAAGCAAGAGTTGTGTCTATTGGTATATCAAACTTCCGTTATGTTTGAGTTAAACTACGGGTATCTCGAAATATTTTTTTGGTCCGGCTGACTTAAAGATAACGAGAGTTGACTGTATAAAGATTTTAGATTTGGCAGGTTTATCACTAAACAGTCACACCACAAATGACATTTCTGCACTTAGGTGAACCAGACCATGTTATGCTTTTGTTTAGTCAATAGAATTAATGTTAATTTGAAAGACTTGAAGAATATAACTATTAGTAAGTATAAAAAATAAGTTAACAAAATTAGCAACAATAATTGAATATCGGCTAGCTAGAAAGAGGAGAAAAAAAAAATATATATCGTACTGTTGAGGTTTTTGTGATAACTGGAAAGATATTGATCTTTGATATGAAATAGATTTTTACAGGACTTCTTTACCTAGTGTTGGTAGAACAGATTGCTGGTTTGATGATGCAGGGACTACTGGTCTGGAACTGTGGTCTAGTGTAGCAGCAGCCCTCTGTATGTGTGTCAACAATCCACAAAATGGTTTGTTTTACTTCTAGATACTGAAAATATAGAAATGCTTTCTACCAAAAAATCAACCCAAAAAACCATGGATCAAAATGAAATTTTATTGTGTTTTGTCTTATTAGTCTTGTATGTTTTTTTTTTTTATTTTGGTTCATTTATATGTTTCAAAGTTTAGTGTGACGTCCATTTTTACAGAACTAATGTGCATTATTGTTTAGGGGCCAGCTGAATTCCGCCTCTGAGTGTGGGATTTTCTTGCTGTGATGAAGACCCATTGGCGGCTTTGGGCTGTTTTATGCTTTGTTCGGATTGTCTCTTTGACACATTCCCCGTTTCCATTCTCAATTTTCATAAATGGCTTTCATTCTGAAAGTCAGTAGTTCTCTCCGTGTACTCTAGCTTCGCCTCCAAAAAAAAAGACTGTTATGATATAGCCAAATGAGCTGTTAAACTGCCTTTTTAGTATCAAGCTTTTGAGTACTATAAATTCAGAAATTATTGCAAGGTTTTTATTAATGTGAATAATGTGACTGGGTGACAATTTCAACAATAAGAACTTGGTCTCTGATATTCGATACATGTTTCTGAATGCAGATTTTCCTGAAATGGCAATAATTAATCTTGCGTTTTTGTCACTTAAAAAAAAAAATGCAATAATAAATGCACGCAATAATTTCTGAATTTACAGTATTTCTAAATATTTGATAGTTTTCAATGAAATTTTGTTTTAACTATATTTATCTGACTTAAGCAACTCCTCCTAAAACATTGGATTGTTTTCAGTGGAATGTAGACATAAGTATTATAGTGTGAAGAACATTTCTTGGTTTAATTGATGAAGGGGAGATAATCCAACTACCTTTATTTTATCAAGCTTTTAAATACTACTTTATATTTGCAACCCAAATAATTTAGTCCTTCCCCGTAATCGATCTCTCCCTCTTGCGAGGGCCTGAATTCCTAACACGCTGAAAACCCTTCGCAAATCCTGGATTTTGATTGGTGCCTTGTTGGAGAGGTGATCAATCAGCGTCAGCTCAATTTTATTGAGATAGGTAAATCCCGAGCTAATTCGGAATGACTGATTGAAGATTTGTTCATTGTATATGTATTCAGTCGTTAATGAAGTAAAATTTTGTAGGTCAGCGGAATATATAACGACTGAATTGTTCAGGTTATAATATTTGATGGATTTCAATGAAGTTTCAAATTTCAAAATTTTGTCCATTTTATATTTATCTGACTTAAGCAACTCCTCCTAAAACATTGGATTGTTTTCAGTGGAATGTAGACATAAGGATTATAGTGTGAAGAACATTTCATGGCTTAATTTATGAAGGGGAGATAATCCAACTGCCTTTATGTTATCGAGCTTTTAAATACTTTTTCATATAATAATATTTGATGGATTTCAATGAAATTTCAAAATTTTGTCCATCATATTATATTTACCTGATTAAAGCAACTCCTCCTAAATCATAAGATTGATTTCAGTGGAATGTAAACATAAGTACTATACACAATGTACAGATCAATTATTGGCTGGTTTGATGAAGGGGAGATAAGCCAACTGCATTATTTTGTATCTAATCTTTTAAGCACATTTACATCCAAATATGTGATGGATTTTAAAGAAATTTCACTAAAAGGATACACTATATGTAACTATGGCAATATATTTTTGATGAAAAAACTTATTCATTAAGGGGAGATAATTTAATTCTCCAAACTTAATATCATGAAGGGGAAATAATCTGAATTATTAATTTGTTTGATTTATCACCTCATGGTATTAACTATAATTGAGGTTTAAATGAATTTCTACCATCATTAGTTTTTATACGCCCGTCAAAATTTTGACGGGACGTATTATGGTATACAAATGTTGTCTGTCCGTCAGTCTGTCCGGCGTAAACATGTTGCACCGTAACTTGAGAACGACCTATCCAAATTTCATGAAACTTAATATAGTTGTTTCTTATGATAGTCAAACGATCTGTATACTTTTTGGTGAAAATAAGATGAAAACTTTTTGAGTTACGGGACTTAGTAACTAAAACAGGTGTGTGGTTTTTTTTCACATGTCGCGCCGTATCTCAAAAACAATTTATGATTATTGCTTAAAACTTTACACACTTCTTAGTTATGTTAATCTTAAGATCTGTATACTTTTTGGTGATGATTCAAAATTTCATTTTTGAGTTATTGAGTATTTTGTAAAAAAAGGGGGAGGGGTTTTTCACAGTTCGTGCCCTATCTCAAAAACGATTAATGATTATTACTTAAAATTTTACACACTTCTTAGTTATATTAATCTAAAGATCTGTATACTTTTTGGTTTTGATTCAAAATTTTATTTTAGAGATATTGATTTTTTTTTTTTTTTAAAAGGGGGGTTTTCACATGTCACGCCGTATCTCAAAAACTATTTATGATTATTGCTTGAAATTTTACACACTTCTTAGTTATATTAATCTAAAGATCTGTATACTTTTTGGTTTTGGTTCAAAATTTTATTTTAGAGATATTGAGTTTTTTGTAAAAAAAAGGGGGGTTTTCGCATGTCGCGCCGTATGTCAGAAACTATTTATAATTATTGCATAAAATTCACACACAAGACGACGGGCATATCATGCGCTCATGGCGCAGCTGTTTATTTTATATAGGTAGAACAGGCCACCCTTAACAAATTCTTTGCTTGATGTTGCCTACCCATGCCTTATAGGGTTGGGTAGGTAGGTAGGGAATTTTTTTTTTTTTTGGCCAACAATATAAGTTTCATGTTTCAGACATGAAAGCAACATTAGAGCATGAAAAAAACTTAGTAAAAATTTGAAATGATTTGTGTCATAAATTTTTTGGGTAGGCTGCTTTTTAGGTGGGTAGGTAGGCAACATCAGACTATTCTAATTTTATATTTGGCCTCAGTGCAGCAGATATCAGTGTTTGTGCTAGCTCTCAGTATCTCTTGTTTTTGCAGGTTGTATGTAGGTCAATAGAAGTGTGTGAACATCTTTTTAAAGGTCTGACCATATGGAAACTGTGTTATTAACTGATGAAATTCACTTTTAAACCAGGTTTTGTGACAGTTATTGATTTAGGGTTGTAGATAGGTGTACAGGCAGGTGGATGAATGATCAGGCTTGCAACTCCAGCCGTTACCCTTTTCCCTGCTTTAATTTATGAACCTTTCAATCAATTCTTTTCAAAATGATATCTTCTTGCTGATAAAAAATTAGAGGTCAATTCGGACAGTGATATTTTGCACTTTTGCCGTTCAGGAGTTATATTATGAATCTTATTTGCTTTAACATTGACACAAATTAAAATGCAATAAAATCAAGTCTCGTGTAAAAAAGTGACATTTTTATAAGGGGATGGAGATGGCACTGATTTACAGTTAATTTTATTTCAAAACAAAATTGTCCCTGTCATTTCTCCTTTGCTCAAAAGTAATGAATGTAAAATAGTGCCATGATTTTTTTTATGTTAGAGTACACTACACTAATTAAATTGCAAAATACTTGGAAATATCAATTTCATTCAAGAAATTTATTTTTAAGGAATAAATAGACTCAAGGCAATTTTAGTGTAACAAATCAAATTTTTCCAAAAAAATTAGGTTACATTTTCTGAAATTTGGTTAATAGGATAGGCTTTAATATATAGCCAGTCTGATTGAATTCTCATGAAGTGTATTGTCAAGTGCAATTGAATTAAAGTGAATAGCTTAACCACAAATTTGTGGTCCTTTCTCCAATATGTGAAATCTTTTAATTTCCTTTATGATTAAAGCCTACAAGCTTAATTCTGTATATAAAACACTTCCTATAATTACAGATTCATCTTCTTAATTAAATTTCTTTGACAAAAATGATAAAATTCTGATAGCAAATTTCTTGACAATATAAAATCAATGACGATCATAATAGACATATTACTTTTATAAGAAAAACAAGTTATTTGATAACAGAGATCATATGCTATTAAAAATAATTGTACTAAAAGTTTATTTTTATTTTCCATCTTTGTTAGATAATATTGCATCATAATTTTTTAATTGATTTTTAAACCTTTGGAGGTCACTTGGTAGAAAGAAAATAGTAGTGTCACTGTGAGCTATATAGGAGGGTATAGGTGGGATTTAAAAATAGAAAACAATGAGCAAAACGTGACAAATAGAGGGCAATAAAAATACTGAATAGAGAAAAATAGGCCAAAAAATAAAGAATATAGAATAATGGGGTGTTAAAATATAAAGAATAGAGAATAATGGGGTGTTAAAATATAAAGAATAGAGAATAATGGGGTGTTAAAATATAAAGAATAGTGAATAATGGGGTGTTAAAATATAAAGAATAGAGAATATTGGGGTGTTAAAATATAAAGAATAGAGAATAATGGGGTGTTAAATAAAGAATAGAGAATAATGGGAGACTAAAATATAAAGAATAGTGAATAATGGGAGTTAAAATATAAAGAATAGAGAATAATGGGGTGTTAAAATATAAAGAATAGAGAATAATGGAGTGTTAAAATATAAAGAATAGAGAATATTGGGGTGTTAAAATATAAAGAATAGAGAATAATGGGGTGTTAAAATATAAAGAATAGAGAATAATGGGGTGTTAAAATATAAAGAATAGAGAATAATGGGGTGTTAAAATATAATAAGTAGAGAAAAATAGTGTTAAAATATAAGGAATAGGGAAAAATAGTGTGTTAAAATATAGAGAATAATGAGGTGTTAAAGTATAAATAATAAAGAAAAATAGTCTAAAAAAATCAAGAATAAAAAAATGAAGGACTCCAATCCAGACCCTTATATTGTCATCACTGTTGTCCAACTTCCCTTGTCTGTTGACTCAAAAAATTTCTTGAAAGTTTTTCCCTGAATCTCAAGCATACGTTATTAATTCTAATTATTACAAGGATTAATCTATTAGGAAAGTCATTAATACAAATTTATCATTTCATATTGATCAGACTCAACAAATCTTGCATACAGGAAATTT